AATGAGTAAGGTGTTAATCAGGGATGGGAATTTAAAATAATGGAAATTTTTTTGTGTTTCTTTATTCATAGTATCGCGACTGACAGATGAGGACTGTCAGGAAATTCACGAGAAGTTGGAGGAGTACTACACAGATAAACTACACCCACTATTCCTTGGTTTGGGTCAACTCAGAGTGGGTGATTCAGCCACAATGCGCGGCTACTTCTTGATGGTGATAGCCCTTCATAACGCCTCTCGAGCGGGGGAACACATCAATATGATGGTGGACTGGGTGCTCTCGGCTCGTAAAGAGCCTACAACAGGCAACTATGTGATAAAGGTAAGGTAATCAATAAAAAAAATGTACCATTCCAGCAATGAACAGGTATACAACATTGTACATTATTTTATTATACAGTGTCCATGTAATGTAATATAATATAATATAAAAGAATATATAACGTAATATAACATATATATATATATATATAATGTAATGTAATATAAATGTAATATTAATTACATTTTTATTACCATCAGGTGGTGCTGGAGGCATTATGTTTTCAGGTTTTCTGTATGTGCGCCCATCCAAAACTTGTTACCGCGATAACTTCAGAACCACTGTATGAGCATGTAAGGATCAACTAATTAGATTTTGGGTTCAGAGGTTCACAGATCACAAAAATCTTGTAAGAATCACCCACAATAGATTGTTTTGCACTAACTGCAGTTTTCGTTTATCCAAGTTTTATAGCTGTGGTAAAGCATTTACATTTGTGTCTTTTATTGGATGACCAGACAACAGTCAGTGTTCAGGGTTTCCTGTTAAAGTGTAATATCATTAAAGAGAACGCTTCTTCTCCTGGTATTAGCTCATAATACTTTTCAGGCTTTCAATGGTAGCATTTCCTTCCATCTTTTTATTCATCCACAGGTTCTGGAACATAAAACAGCCCTTACACAAGGCTCAGCCAGGGTCAGCCTGCCGGAGAGGGAATACAATCGACTGTTGGCGTATCTGCGTGCCGTAAGGCCGAGGATGCCAGGGTATTCTTCAACGATTAAAACGGTGTTTTTCACCTCACAAACACCCTACATGTCAACTTCCACCAACACCTACTACATGGGTTCCATTTGCCATAAAATCGGGCTGTCAAAATCACTTACCAACACAGCCATCAGACAATGGGCCTCATCGACCGTAAATATACATAGTCTTTTTAATCGTTGAATTCACTATACGATATTTTCTCCCTACAAAGTTTACATTCTAATGTGGAAAGGCACAATACTTGGATCTAAGATTCAAATTGCTTCAGATCAATCAGGGCTTATGACTTTTGCATTTTTAGTGAGATGATCAGCTGTTCAAAATCCACCAATGACATGTTAAATTGGATACCTCGTAAAATATATACATTCATAATCATGATTGCTGTGCAATTTGAGGATTTAAAGGAAATTCAGAACATTGTTTGTAATTTTAAGATTTGTTATCTAAAATGCTATTTAACACCAAACCATGGTATTTTTTAATCGCAGATGGCAGAGAAACATCCAGAACGACAAGTCGACACAGCATGCGCAATGCATCACAGTTTACCGACTGCACAGCGCAACTATCAGGCTATGTCCGTTCAGGATAGAAAAAAGGCCCTATTTACCCAAGCAATTTCCAAGACACTGAGGGTATGTACAAAGGTTTTTCATATCTTTATCACAATACTCTTCATATAATACTTATAACTATGAAAATTACAATTAATTAAATAGGAACAAGTTATTTATAATAGCTAAGACGCTTCTATGCCACATTGACGACTACTAATACTAAGAATAATATCATAACTATTAATAATGCTTATCCGTCAAGTATGAATGAATTTGTTTAATTGAATTAATATATTTAATGAAATTGTAGGGTGGAGTCCTTTTGATCTTTCCCAATTATTCCCAAGAGTGTGTAGCGACAAATGTTACAGTGCATTCATTTATAATTCACTGGTATACATATTGTGTTTTTAATCCAAAATGGCCGCTTTAGAAGTCATTGAGAGTTCGAGGATTTGGTATTACGCCATGTCCTCAGAACTGGTTTTAACTCGATTTATTATATAACGATGTTTCCTTTATATTTTTAATTGTGTATTTTCGCCCCTCGGAGCTTACGCAAGCTCGGGTCTAGTAGGGGGGTTAATGTAGCGACAAATGTTACAGTGCATTCATTTATAATTCACTGGTATACATATTGTGTTTTTAATCCAAAATGGCCGCTTTAGAAGTCATTGAGAGTTCGAGGATTTGGTATTACGCCATGTCCTCAGAACTGGTTTTAACTCGATTTATTATATAACGATGTTTATTCATTAGTATTTTGATCACATGACCAATTAACATAGATGTACGCGTATTTATTCATAAGTATTTAGATCACGTGCCTTATTAACATACATGTGCGCTTGTTTTGAACCAATCGCGCTGTAGTTGATTGGCGCTCTTCTGATTTTCCTGTGCGGGAATCAGTGAGCTGTTTTAATATTGGTATACACACATGCTGTTATTGTGTTGATGATTGTACCTAGAAAATTGTATCCAACGAGGATTGAACTGCTACGTCCCCGGACCATTCCCGGTGGACGTGCTCACCTATTTACATCTTGTACGTTTTGCAAGATATATTTTGACTCTCTCGATGTTCAACATTGACGACACTTTAATTCACCAGCAGTGAGAATAGAACATTTAATATGATCTAACGTTTTTCTCACCTGCATTATTGTTTGACAACCTTTTATCATCGACTTCATATATATTGTCTCGACATTTGATTCTTCGACCTGCATCGCAAGTCACTGAAGTTGATCTATTGACATTGACTGCATCATCATTGTATTCATCTGTTAACTGATTCATCATCGTTGTCTTCATCACCGTTGTCTTCATCATCGCTGTCTTCACCAGCGTCGTCTTCATCGTCGACTTCATCATCGCTGTCTTCACCAGCGTCGTCTTCATCATTGTCATCATCGTTGTATTCAACATCGTCTTCATCATCGTGGTATTCACCTAGCGTCGATCATCGTCTGCATATCCTACGCGATCGACAACCAGCTCGTCGACCACTGTTTTCGACTAGATCTAGCTAGTTTCTACATCTACCTAGAACTTGAAGAAGATCTACTTTGAATTCAACTCCAATGACTCACGTAACGTTAATTATATTGTGATTTATGCTTTGCATTGTTTATCATTGTGAGGCCTTATTTTGACTGACTGAGTGCCTGTTGTTGAGTGCGTACGCTTACTAACACATATTTTACATGTTTATAATTGCACTAGGTCTAGTTCTAGGCCTATGCCTGGTCTACTGATCTAGATCTGCTATAGTCTAGATCCACCGATATATTGTTGTATTCTCGTGTTGTGCATTCCGTACACATACACAAGTAGAGATTTGTTTAGCGGTTTCTTGAACCACAATATTTCGTGCCTATGTAAGTAAATCTAAACGCTGTCTAGCTTAGATTTGAGTAGTATTTTCTTGACTGTTATTATTCATGCAGTGGGAATGATATTTAACTGACTTGTTTTAGTACTGTTTTAAGTTGTACTGAACAGCTAGACTCCTGATATTTCGAGACTTGTATTCAGCGGTAATCATTAATACCATAGTGACTAAGTTGAGTCTCCTTTACATTAATGTGCTGTTGGAAGTTATCTATGTTTGATTATTAATAGTAACTACCAAGGGCCTAGTGATAGTTTAATTGTCTGTCACTGTTGAGATAGACAGAAGAGGTGTCTGATAATTCTGTAATCATTGTATCTTATGTGAAATTATAGAATATAGAACCAGTTTTTAACCATAATCAATTTGTCTGGATGTGATCATTTATTAAGTGTTTTCTTGTCTGGAGGGATACTGCTTTTTAGTAGTTTAATAAAAAAAGGGAATTATGTGGGATTACTAGTTAACACGCAACATAGTCCATACCCCATGTAGTTTTCCAAAAGTGTTTAACCTAGGTGATTATTATTCCTCCTGTGAATTTTCCATTCAATGGGGAGGGGGGTATTGTTATTTCTACGTTATATTAATAAGGTGAATTTGTTACATTAAAATGCACAACCCAGGTAGCTACTTATGAAATTACTTATTTTCTTGCCTCCGCCTTTCAAAAGTGGTACCTTAAAGGTATAGATCAGTAATGGTCAGGGTGAAGAAAATTATGTGAAATGAGCTGAAGTAGTCACAAATTGCTTTACATGCATACAAATAAATATGTACGAAATGGGGTGATAATACTTGCACTAATTGTGGCAGTTTTTGGTCTGAATGTCACAACCAAATGCCGACCAACCGTCACCGCTACGGAACTGAGTGAGGTTCTTGCACCGTAGGTTTGGGCGCTGAGCGACCCGTATTTTTGCTACGAACAGTGGGCAAATATCTGAAGCGCCACCTCTCCCAAAACTAATCTACACGTTTAACCATTATTTTACTTCAATCAAAATGAATAAAAGAATGTAATAATGAAATCATTATTTTTGTTGTTTCTTACATTACAATCTATTGTTTTTGTCCTTTATAATTCCTATTTCAGAAGATGACACCTGCTACTCCACCTCCACCTACAAGTGATGGACAGCCAGAGAATGTCAAGGTACATGACCAACTTATGTGTTAATCTTGAAAAAAGAAAACAATAGTGTACAGTGCCGTTGAACCTAGTCAGACGAGTCTTTAAGAGCCGTGTTTGTCCTGGGTTCTGAAAAGATTTATATACTTCACAACACACACATTGTGTTTGGAGGGTCAATTTGTAAAATTAAAATGTACAACCCAGATAGTTTTTCAGGAAGTTATTTAGTTTCATGCCTCCACTCATAGTGGTACCATAACCATTATTTTACTTCAATCAAAATGAATCAAAGAATGTAATATAGTGAAATCATTATTTTTGTTGTTTGTTACATTACAATCTAAGAGATTGGTACTGAAAATTGTTTTTGTCCTTTATAATTCCTATTTCAGAAGATGACACCTGCTACTCCACCTCCACCTACAAGTGATGGACAGCCAGAGAATGTCAAGGTACATGAACACCCAAATGTTTCTATTACTTTAATGGTTATACTGTAAATGACTCTTTGTTTTAACATTGTATATTCTCTCATCTTTCAGAAATCAATAGCCTCTAGCTGTTCAAGTTCGGCATTAGAAGGGACAGATACACTGGTAGGTTTAATGAATCCTAAGGCATGTTTCCTTGATCCGTCTTAGGATCCGTCTGTACGTACAAACATATGTCTGCCCATTCCTACTTCTGTTCGTTTTTTTTTTGTTTTTTTTTGTCATTCTCGCAATAACTTTAAGACTTGAAACTTTGTTCAGGTATGCATATAGAAATCACTGTGATTCATGAAAATTGGGGTCATGAGGTCAAAGTTCAAAGGTCACAGAGATCATTGGATATCGGTGATAACTCAATGGTTTGACATAGCAACTTTAAATTTTGGTTCTGTATGCGTATAGGATACACAATGTTGTGAGTAAATTTTGAGGGTGATTTGGACAAAGGCCATAGAGATTATTTAACACATGAATTAGTTCCTACTTGCAATAACGAAATGGCAAATTATTGTCCGATTAAGATCAAATGCAAATGGGAAGCACAGTGATCTGTTAACATTTTTGGTTCATTATGCTAAATATCAAAGGTCATTGAAAGCAATATGACTGAAATATCATGCAAAACTACCATGTGTATAAACTCGAATATGTATTTCACCCGAAATGTCAGCAGGCTACTAAATGGAGATGTAACGCACACTTTATTTCTTGTTCTTTAACCCATTCAGGATGAATGAACACATTTTGTGCTTTGGTTCAATAACTTTATGATTCAAGGCTCTAAAAAATACAGACATCCATGAGCAGAAGTAGAACAAAAATCTACACAAAATCTGACCAATGTTATTGTGTAACCATTAGTCGTTCGATGTAGAGAATTTTTAAAAATAGAATAATCACTAAAATTGGCAACACAATAATCAGTTAGAAGTCACTATTTTTCTACATCAATTGGCAACTTCTGACTTTTAAACACATTTTTCAACAATCGAGATTCAATTTGACCGATATATTGTAATAATTGGATTTAAAAATCTAATGTTGCCAATTTTAGGAAGAAATAGTGGTTGAATATGATCTAAAATTATTCCTGTCTTGAATGGGTTAACAGCATGATCAGTATAGGCAAAATCTTTCGAGTTGGAACTTTAAAGATGTTAACGTGATCATTGAAAAAAATCAGAGCCCAAATTTAATTTACATTGATTTGACTTGGATGTTATTGTTGATACTGGTGATGGAATTTTTCCTAAATCTCTTTTTATACTTGTTTATTTCAGTTCACCCATTCAAGCTGCACAACTACGGAAAGAGAATTGCTGGGAAGGGCACGGAAAAGAATGAAGTTCACTTCAAGTGAGGTAGAGGCAATCAGTGAGCTCTTCCAGACCTTTCTTGAGGAAAAAAAGGTTCCAACCCTCTTGCAAGCCAAAGAGACCATGGACGAGAACCCTGAACTTTCAAAAATCTTGACGCTAAGAACACCAAAAGACGTTATTGACAAGATAAAGAATAAGATAAAGGAAAAGAAATAATTCTAAACCGTCTGTATTGAAAAACTTGGTATACTAAAGATCGAATTTGACACATATGACCATCTAACCATTATACGTATGCGATGGTGTTGTCCCAGGTCTTATGATGGGATCAACATTCAAGTTTTCTGCAAGATACTCATTTTAGCATTAGCTTTGCAACTGTTCATTCTGAGGTGACCAAAATTGGATCATTAATGCAATTTGGACATGTCCATGTTTATCTATGGCTATTGCCTTGTTTGTTTGTTTTTTGTTGCATAATACAATGCCATGGTAAAGAAAATTTAAACAAAACTTATTTTATTTAATAACTTATAAAGTACTTTCAGGGGAATTAAGCCCAGATATTAATTTGTTGTCAGTAGAGAAAGAAAAATGAAATGATCAGACTGTGACTGTGACTGTTGAGTAGAATTGGATGATCCATTCAAACTTTATAAGTTTTCAAAATTTCGATTTACACTTCTGATGGGCTTCTTTAATTGGCAACCTTCAGGCATAAAATGGCTGCCAACATGGAAACCTCTGCATTCACTTTGTACATAGAATTTCACAAATTCTTCGTTTTGAAGAAAAGTAGACAAAATTTTCCTTTTTCGTTTGAGTATAAAATGGACATATCAATTCTGCAGGCATTTTGGGAAGAATTATGTTGATTCCTTGTCCACTTTTCTTGAAAAGGAACAAATGTGAAATTCTGTGTACAAAATGAATGGAGAGTTCTTCATGTTGGCAGCCATTTTGTGCCTGTAGGTTGCCAATTCAAGGAGCCCATCAATGGTGTAAATCAAAATTTGAAACTTAATAACTTTTGAACAGGTCATCTGATTTTCCTCAAATTTTCACTGTTTGATCATTATATTTTTCTTCATTTACTGACAGCAGATTAATGTCTGAGGTTAATTCCCCTTTAAAGAATCATGGTCAAATTTACTGTGTATGATGTATAGGTGCTGCTATGTGATGGATAAATACTTCATTCTATTAAAAATACATTGTCATGGTAGCCACTCAATTACTAGAAAAGTCCTTTTCAATGACCCTCTTCCAACAATTTTGAAGCAATCAAGTTTACCTGCAAGAATCTCTTTTAGCAATAACTTTGCAACTGTTTGTTCTATGGTGACCAAAATTGGATCTTTGAAGCAATTGGGACACACCCATATTTAGCTTTAGCTATTGCCTTGGTATGTATGCTGCATAATGCAATGCCTTGCCGTGGAAACATTTTTACCAAAAGTTATCTGATTGAATAACTTCTAAAGTACTTAAAGAATCATGGTCAAATTTAGTATGTATGATCTATACATGCAGCTATGTGATGGATAAATAATTTATTAAAAATACATTGCCATGGTAACCACACATTTGCTATAGAAGTCCTTTGTAATGACCCTCTACAAAAATTTAGAAGCAATCAAGCTCAAAATTGGAAGGTATTATTGCAATAAGATGTTGATTGTGAAAAGAACTTGTATTTGGAATTTCTTGAATAATGTATTGCCATGCAGGTGAACATTAGAGCTAAGAGCAACAAATGCTCATGTGGAATACTTCAAACGGCAAGTTCAAATATCTGCTCATTGAGAACGAAGAACAGCAAGTAGTACCATGGTACCATTCAAGGGAAGGTTAGTTGTGAGGCAGTACATGCCAGAGAAGCCCCACAAGTAGGGATTCAAGCTTTGGGGAAGAGTTGGCTCATCAAGGTTTCTTCATGACTTTGATGTGTACCAAGGTAGAACAGGTACTACAAACAACGTAAGGTCACCATATGGACTTTCTGGAGATGTTGTGCTGAAAATGACCTCAACTCTACCAGAAAATTGCTTGTGTTACGATATACAGTATATAATCAGAAAATAAAGTGAGCCAGCCATGGCCAAGAAGAGAGAGTGCTGTTTTTCTATCCGTGGCATGGCTTGACGTACCAACTACCATAAAGTTTCTGAATAGTGACATTTTGTGCTAAGGTCTATGTTGTGAGCTAAGAAGAATGACAGGGTACCTCGCCACAAATGGTGAAGAACCCGGTGCTGATGACAAATTGACTTGTTAGAATGAAACCTGACCGAACATTGGAAGATCCGTGTAGTATTGACTGAGCTTACACACGAAAGTCTATGGAGTATTATACAGCATATTGATCAGTCACTGACTGCAATGTGACGTTGGACTGATATGAATTGCAATTGTATGAACAGTGCGGGTATATTCACAAATCACGACTCGGTGTGAACATATTTCGTTGTGACATTATCAAGGTGGATCATTGATCAAATTATAACAATAACATGGCAAATCAATTGCTGAGACCCCATTGTATGATGGGACAGGACACCCTGACTTGTGGGTAGACGCATTTGAACGCTACTCAACATTCATGGAATGGATTCCGGCCCTAAAGCTTAATGCATTCAAGACTATGCTGCAAAGTCGGGCAGCGAGGTGGTTGAAAGAGCTCCCATCCAGGCCCAGGGAGGAAGTTGAACTCGGACGCATCGAAGAATATGACTATGAGTGACTGAAAACACATTTCTTAGAGAAATTCCGACCATCAGGTACAAGTAGATTTCGTCTTCGGGCAGAACTCGTCTCGATCGACCAAACAATAGAGACATGAAAAGATAGACATGTACTTAGTTCTATGTAGTGAGCTAAAAGGAATGAAAGGGTACCTAGCCACACTTGCACAAGATCTTTGCTGATAATTTCTTCAGCTCAACACCTCTCGTTGAAAAATTCCGTGACAACGGGCACGACTACATTGGGACTGTTCACAGCAACCGCCTGAAGAACAGTAGAATGGCTGAGGACATGGCACTAAAGAAAGATGGCAGGGGAAGTACAGACTACCGTTGCGAAGACAGGGCATGAGTGATAGCCATTAGGTGGTTTGACCATGAGTCTGTAATGCACTTGTCGATTGATATCCCGGCCCCTGGGTACCCAGGGATGGCCTGGACTCTGCTGCCTTGTGGTCAGGGAGTTGACCCCTTTTTTCCGCCCGGGTGTACCTGGCATATGCTAGGACTTGTTGAGGGAGTTCACACATGACAAAAAGCCGGGATTTCGGGACTGGGAGTTGGGCCGGGATTTAGCCAGGTTTAGCTAAAGAGATGGCTGTGACTTGCCGTGGGCATTCACTCACTAGAAACACCTTCCTGTATAGCAGTAATAAAACCCCACTTTCTGTATCCAAAGAATCCAGCCCAACATGCTGCTGATATGCAAATGCTGACCACATGTGGGATATTTGACTTCAAACAGCCTATTGAATGTATCCTTGTTGATAGCTTCAACCAGCCTATTGAATGTATCCGTGTTGATGGCTTCAACCAGCCTATTGAATGTATTTGTGTTGATGGCTTCAACCAGCCTATTGAATGTATCCGTGTAGATGGCTTCAACCAGCCTATTGAATGTATCCGTGTTGATGGCTTCAACCAGCCTATTGAATGTATCCTGTGTTGATGGCTTCAACCAGCCTATTGAGTGTATCCGTGTTGATGGCTTCAACCAGCCTATTGAGTGTATCTGTGTTGATGGCTTCAACCAGCGTATTGAATGTATCCGTGTTGATTGCTTCAACCAGCCTATTGAATGTATCCTGTGTTGATGGCTTCAACCAGCCTATTGAATGTATCCGTGTTGATGGCCTCAACCAGCCTATTGAATGTATCCGTGTTGATGGTTTCAACCAGCCTATTGAATGTATCCTTGTTGATGGCTTCAACCAGCCTATTGAATGTATCTGTGTTGATGGCGCCAGTGACGAAGGACCATCACATTGAGAGGTCCAATTTAACTGGACTGAATGGCACATGAAGCAGAAAAAGCAGTTAACCATAGTAACAAGCCGGCATAGTGGTGGTAGCTACTTCGACAAGGTGGAGTTCATGAATGAATGGATGTATTGCGCAAGCACATGCAAATGCATTCATTCCATTAACACCTCTTGTTTTATGGGGTGAAACAAAAGAAGGATGAAAATATCTTTGAAGTTTTGAGGGAAACCCTTGTCTACATTGGATTAACGAGGAATGAGGCGGACGCTGTAGCTTTCGTAAACGCCTATCGCCTGCCATAGAAAAAGCAGACAGAAGGTGTACCCTAGCCCATTATCACAAAGACGGTGTACATGAATGAACGGAATAGAATCCTGTCCGCCTTCGAGTCCAAACGCACACCGAGAGTCGAGGGGCAAGAGAGATCGAGAATCACGGTACGTACAGATCTACCCCCCCCCCCCGCCCTAAAGGAGCAACGTAACATACTAGCGAAAACCGTGTTTAACTTGAGACGACACAAGAAATTATTAACCAAGATCGTAGTAGAAGGTGTTAATGTCCTGCTCTACTGGAAGGAAAGGGAATCCAGAGTGTGGCAAGTATACAAAGATTGATATGATTGTGAGAGAATCGAGATAATCGACAAAGTTTATCTGTCATCTGGCTCATCGGTTCAAACGGCCGACTACATGTATGTTATCAATATGAAAGAGATTATGATTAAGATGACCTTTTTTTCGAGTGGAATTTGAGTTTTTTTTCCTACTGATTTTTCGATGAACAACCTTCCACGCTACTGCATAATGAGCAACTTGAAAGAAGGTGACAGAATATGAAGATATGACTATACGGAAGATGATTTAAGTGACATGTTTTTTCTACTAGTGCAGACGCCTAGAAAAATGCTACAAACAAGAAAATTTTATACCACTAAATGGTGATTTTCTAGCAGGGGCTCCTTTCGGGGCGGCCATGGCTGATTTAATGTATTTTTACTACAACATGCAACAAACAGTTGTTGTGCTTATTTTTTTGTTTCTTTGTAGGTATTTGTATCAATTGTTATGTTTGTTCCCTTGTAAATATCAAACAATTTTTCCAGCTTGGAATAGCAGAGATATTGTAGTCAGGGTAGATGTAATTGAAGATTTAAAGAGTAGAGAATAACAATTTAATAATTATATTTTGTCGTATAAATCCACTGAAGAAGCTTTTGCAAAAAAGAAAAACAAATTTGAGAAGCATATGGCAAAGTGGCAAAACATCAACAAGTATTTCCGTGTTGCATAATGATAATGTTATATATTATGTGCAAAACGTTTCAGGGGATAGATTTATTTGATTTTGTTACATTTTTTTGTTTTATTCATGTTGTGGTGTATTTGATGTACTATGCTCTATTATATAATAGAAAAGGTCAGATTATATCATGCTTTATGCCCCGGTGGTGCAGCCGGGCCAACTACGGACCGGCGGGGGAGAGAGGGGCTATAAATGTTCTTTACTTCTTGGCCTCTCTCTTTCCATTTAGTGTCGGTCTGGTGGTCGTATCCTCTGTGCTGCCGGGGTATACAGAAGTATCATGCTATGTTTTTTAATGTTACACTGAAATGTGAAACCACAAGATTGTAAGTGTGAAACAATATGATTATTCATTATTTTTGTGCAAAACGATGAAACGCATATTTTGTAAATCATT